ATTATATCTCTCTGTCTGTATATGTACATCGTTAGACATGGCAGGTTAGAGACGTTTTGCCAACGGGCCGTTTGGAATGCCGAGTCGGCCTGACTCTCAGGCGTGTGTACTTAGGGTTTAGGGTTTAGGGTTTAGGGTGGTTTTGAGTTTGTCCTGTACTGTTTAGTGCGAGGGCCGGGACCCCAGCCGAATTCGTGTAGGGTTCAGGGATGTGCCCCGTGCCCAGATGGAGGCGATGTTGAAAAGGAGGCTATTGGCCTAGTTGTAGAGTGGGTAACCTTTAACCGTTTTGGGGTAATAGAATCCCCTTATAATCCCAAAGGTTACCCTCAATTCCCCCAGGTTACTGGACAACTAAGTTGGAGCAGTGCTAGCAGCTAAGAGTTGGCTTCATAGACTTGGCTGTGCGCTTTCCTTGGTCGTGCGGTCAGCTGATGCCTCGTAGCATGACCCTCTTCTGCCATGCCATGCATCCCAGCGTGCAACGAAGCGCTGGTGCCAGAATCACACAAGTCACACAAGTGCCTGTCAACATGCAGTTGCAGTGGCTTCCTCATGTCGAATACAGCTTCTGGCCTAGGCTGGGCAACGAATCACTGGGGAGGTGGTTTTCGATGCGGACGATGAGTATGGCCTCTGCGAGGAAGACCATAAACCCTAAACCAAGAGTGGTCAGCTAGGCGACTGGCAAAAGACACCCTAAACCAATCTCCCGAAGCCCCGGAGTTCTTGCTTCTCACTGTCTTCCTTGAGATCTCAGAAAAGTTAACATTCAAAGATGAAAGTCGAAACCTTGAAACGTCCTGCACAGCCTGCTGGAACTTTAGGCGCTTCGGCCGATTGATTCTGGGATGTGGGTTGACGGATCTGTGAGATCTGGTCAGGCTTGTGGCTAATTGGGCGTTTTGGCCTGACATCTTATCCTTCTTCAAGCCGGGTGGATGTAAATTAAGAAGGTCCTGCTTCCATCACCTGACTATGCTTCATTACCCCTTTAAGGGTCCATGCACCTTATGGTTATTTACTTGGACTCCCAAAGTCCCGATGCAGGAAGCACTTTAAGGCCCGAGTAATTCCCCATTTAGGTACTCTTAACCCTAAACCCAAAAACCTTTTGTAAGTACATGGACCCTTGGGGGAATCCCTAAACCCTAAACCCTAAACCCTAAACCCTAAACCCTAAACCCTAAACCCTAAACCCTAAACCCTAAACCCTAAACCCTAAACCCTAAACCCTAAACCCTAAAAGTCAAACTAAAGACTGTCGACTCTAAACTTGGATCAGGACAACAACGCTTTTCTGGGCAGCCAGGTCCTCGGCTTGAGGTCCAGGGGTTTCAGGTAAAGGATGGGTTTAGGGTTTAGGGTTTAGGGTTTAGGGTTTAGGGTTTAGGGTTTAGGGTTTAGGGTTTGGGTTTCGGGTTTAGGGGTTAGGGTTTAGGGTTTAGGGTTTAGTGTGGCTGAAGTCACCACGATTACCTGACCATTCCCGGCCGACTCCCCAAGCCCGGATGCAAAAAGGGTTTAGGGTTTAGGCTTCATGGGCCGCCTTTCCCCCGTGTGGTGTCGCAGGGTCCGGCTCTTCCACAGCACAGGTGCGAAGGTTACGAGACAGCTATGAGGGCCAGTGGTGCGCCACATCGGTTGCTCTCCTTTGGCCCAAGGGCGGTTCAGGGTTTAGGGTTTAGGGTTTAGGGTTTAGGGTTTAGGGTTTGGGGAGTTCAGAGGGTCACGGAAGCCCCATGAATCGTATGTCCGCTCTCTCTGTGTGTCTCTAACCCCTCTTGTCTTCTGAACCACATGGAGGAGGGCAGCAGGCAGAGGGCAGAGTAGTTCAGCTAAATGAGGGGCAGCATCGAGTGCGCATCGCGTCTCTCCATCCCTTTTTGCCCAGAAGCCTTGCAGTGCGTGGTCTTTGACGGGCGCCAAAAACCCTAAAGTAAGGGTCGGTTTAGGGTTTAGGGTTTAGGGTTTAGGGTTTAGGGTTTACGGTTTACGGTTTACGGTTTACGGTTTAGGGTTTAGGGTTTAGGGTTCAAAGGGTTTCCGACCATTTCCACACCTTCAGGAGGTGATTTCGTGTCTCTTGTTCGGCGAGGCAGCCTGGCCCTTGGCATTTCATCGGCTCGAGCCATTAGGGTTTAGGGTTTAGGGTTTCGGGTTTAAGGTTTATTTAGGGTTTAGCGTTTTTGTGTTTGGGGTTTAGGGTCTAGGCGTATGAAAACGACAGGGCGGGGATACTTGGTATTGTCCCACATGGCGGTTTCCGAAATTAGGGGTACCTTATTTTGGGGGTCCTTGTTCTAAGGGAATCCTACCATCTAGGGGTCGATTTTGGGGGTCCCTGTCTTCGTAGACCCCCACATTTAAGAGATTTTATTCAGGAATGTTTTTCAGAGGCTTCATGGGGGGGTGGCCCCAACCTCGGACCTAGGATGAGACGGTGTCCCAGGTTTGGTCGATGGGCTAGGATCCAGGGCCCGCGTGCGTTGTAGCGGGCGAGGCACACAGAATGCCACTGTCAAATTTGTTTTGGGGTATGGTCTCATTGCACCACCACTCTTACCCCCTTAGTTAGACCCCTTGGCCGTGGTGGTACCACCCTCCAAATGATCTTCCGCGATTGCGCGAGACACCTCAAGACCTAAGCCCTACATTCGGATCGTTGCTCGCAGGTCCCTTTATCATGGGTGTGCTGATGGAGCACCTAAATTTTGCACCAGCACAGGCATTCTATTCCCTCTATGGCACATATAAGTTGTAATTGAGATGCCCTAAACCGTAAACCCCTCCCCCCATCCCAAGTGCACGGCCTACTGCTGCAAGGCGAGAACGGCGAGTTCGCGCCATTCGCCTTGAAGGTACATCGATGGTCCTTTAAGTTGTTCAGGATTTAGGTTTGGAAGGAGTCTTGGGCCTTAGGGTTTAGGGTTTAGGGTTTCGGGCTTAAATGTAGGGTTTAGGGTTTAGGGTTTACGGTTCAGGGTCTCTACTAATTGCTTCAAGAAGCCCGAAAAAATAGAAAGTATTCTTCCTTACAAAGGGTAATGCAAGGGTTTTAATGTTTTTATTCTTTTGGGGTTCTTGAGCAAATAGTAGGTTTAGGTTTGGAAGGAGCCTTTGGCTTCAGTTCGGCAACCTTGTACAGGAAGAGTCTGTTCATGAGCGCGGAGATAACATCACACTTGCCGTGGTATCGGGCCCCTTCGACAGCAACAAAGACCTCCCACAAACAAACAAACCATGCTGCCGAAACATCCTACATGCATATATACACACATATCTAGATACCCTAAACCCCAAACCCTAAACCCTAAACCCTAAACCCGCAATTGTAAGGAGTCAGAACACGAAGCCTTCAGAGTGCCAGGCTCACCGAGCCGCGTCAGCGGGTGCCTCCGCAGTGCTCTGCATGGATACGGAGGAGCCGTTGAGCACTAGCTGGGGTTGGGGTGTAGGGTTTAGGGTTTAGGGTCTAGGGTCTAGGGTCTAGGGCCTAGGGTTTAGGGTTGAGAGGGCCGGCTGGCGCATGAGAGAGATTATAGGGTTGATAGTGGTAGTAGTCGTCGTCGTCGTCGTGGTCGTCGTAGTAGTAGTAGTAGTAGTAGTAGTAGTAGTAGTAGTAGTAGTAGTAGTAGTAGTAGTAGTAGTAGTAGTAGTGGCTAGTGCTAGTGCCAGTGCTAGGACTAGTACTAGTACTGGTACTAGTACTGGTAGTAGTAACAGCAGGCGGGATGGAAAGCGGGGGGTCAGGGATTAATGAAGTTTGTTTGTACTCTAGGCCCTTCTGCCCCTAAATGTCCACGTGCTCACATAGTAACTATAGTACGAACCCTAAAGCTACTTTCTAAGAACCCTTCAAAGGCCCAAGTACTTCCTATACCGGTACATGGACCCGTCGACCCACGCAACGGCCGCTAAGATAGCCCCTAAACCCTAAATCCTGAACCCTGAACCCTAAACCCTGAACCCTGAAACCTAAACCCTACAGTCCGTCCCCAGGAGCGCTTGTCAGGGACTCAGCCAGCCCATGGCAATCAGGATGTAGGGTTTGGGGTTCGGGTTTAGGGTTTAGGATTTAGGGTTTAGGGTTTAGGGTTCTGGGTCCAAAAAGGGTTTAGGGTTTAGGATTTACCCTAAAGCCTCTAAACCCTACCATCCCAACCCTAAAAACCTCACAAACCCTACAAACCCTAAACCCTCTAAACCCTACAAGAGGCTGGGGTGTTGTTGGAGCTTTAACGGTCAAGTGGATTCCAAGGGCCGCGGTGAGACTCTTAGAGCCCAGGCTTAGGGCTCAGGGTTACCAGAGTTGCCGTAAACCCTAAACCCTAAGCTCTAAACCCTAAACCCTAAACCCTAAACCCTAAACCCTAAACCCTAAACCCCAACAAGCCTTGAACCCTGAACCTGGAATGGAAAAAGACAATTCCCGGACCTGGCTTCCAGCACTGTGCGATTCTGGACCAGCGTCACGGCTCAGATGCCTTTGCAGGTTTAGGGTTTAGGGTTTAGGGTTTAGGGTTTAGGGTTTAGGGTTTAGGGTTTAGGGTTTAGGGTTTAGGGTTTAGGGTTTAGGGTTTAGGGTTTAGGGCTTAGGGCTTAGGGCTTGGGGTCAAGAACTTCTGAACGCTGAGGCCCACATCAACCTCAAGTTGTTTAGTCCGGGTCTGTTGGAAAAAGGGCCGTGACCTGAACCGTATACTGCCCCTAACTAAACCCTACGGCTAAGACCCCCTGTTAGGGGGTTGGGGGTTTCGGGTTTAGGGTTCAGGCCCCCCCCCCCCCCCCCCCAAACCCTAAACCCTAAACCCTCAACCCTCAACTCCCAGCGCCAGCCACCAACACCTGAGCCACCCCCGAGCAGCCCAGGTCACCCAACCTGTGGATATGAAACAAAAAGAGGCTTCATATAGGGGTCGGAATAGATACTAACCCTTTATGGCCCCTTTGCCGTCAGACTGTGGAGGGGACCTCGCCCGAGTAAGAGCCAAGCTCCAATGGTCAAAGAATGGCGCGTGAAAGCCGGCGGTAAGCACAAGGCCGTGCACTTCCGGAAGCTTGGTTTAGGGTTTAGGGTTCGGGGTTTGGGGTTTAGCGTTTGGGGTTTGGGCTTTGGGGTTTAGGGTTTAGGGTTTAGGGCGGGCGAGTTTGGGCATTTTGTGTTCAGGGTTTAGGGTTTCGTGACGGGGTGTTTGGATCTTAGTCCCAAGCCCCAGTTGCCAAAAAAGGGTTGAGGGTTACCCTAAACCCTAACCCTAAACCCTAAACCCTAAACCCTATCGCGTCCGGGGCTTGGCTATGGTTCTGGAGGGGTTCGCGTCTTGTTTGGTTCGGAGTGTTACTTGAGATGTTTCCCCTTAGGCTACCAGTCCTCTATAGGGGCATTCTATAGGAATTATAATGGGGGGGATACTTTAGGGTTTAGGGTTTAGGGTTTAGGGTTTAGGGTTTAGGGTTTAGGGATAGGAATTATAATCGGGGGGTACTAGAACCCCTAGTAAGGACTTTAAGCATAAGGTGGAACGTTCCAAAGTGTTTCCCTACAGGGTCCATGTACCTCATCATGATATAGTTGGGGCCCAAAGTCCCTGTTTAGGTACATGGACCCTAAATCCCTAAACCCTAAACCCTAAACCCTAAACCCTGTTTAGGTACATGGACCCTGAGGGTTAGGCTAGCAGATGCCAGTTGAGAGACTTCTTCGGGGGCTGGGGAGTTCCGTGTGTGGGCTGCTAAGGTTTTAGGGTTTCGGGTTTAGGGCTTCAGAGATTAGAGCGTGAAAGTTGAGCCCTAAGCTCTTCCGTTTTGACTGAGAGACACTTTCTTCGATCCTGCATGACCTGCAGAACCCTGAGGGGTACTCTAATTCCTATAAAGAAAAAGTAACCATCACTTTAGACTAACAGTCCTTTATAGGGATACTAGTAGGGGGCACTCTAATCCCTATTTAAATGAAAAACACCACCATCACTTTAGACTAACGATTCTAGTAGGGGGCACTCTATTCAAAGAAAAAAGGCACCACCATCACTTTAGACTAACCGTCCTTTATAGGGATACTAGTAGGGGCACTCGAATTCTTATTCAAAGAAAAAGACGCCACCATCACTTTAGACTAACGATTCTAGTAGGGGGTTCCAGTTTAAAGAAAAGACACCACTTTAGACTAACGGTCCTTTATAGGGATAATAGTAGGGGGCACTCGAATTCCTTTTTAAAGAAAAAGACACCACCATCGCTTTGCACCAAGGAAGCAGCCCTCTGCGGACGACAGCGAGCGGAATGTGCTTGGCATGCTCAAGGCTCGTCAAGCCCTACAGCGGTTGCCAACGTGCTACGAGTTTCTTTTAAGAACCCCACAAGAGAATTAAAAAAGCATAAATAAATAAACAAAAAAAAATATATATATATATATAATCCCTAAATAATCCTTCATAAGGAAGAATATTCTTCATTTTTTCGGGATTCTTAAGCAATAGTAGCGTGCTGGTGATGAATCGTCTTGGGGATGTCTGAGAAAGGCGGGGAGGGAGAGGGAGAGGAGGCTTGGGGAGGGGGGAGGGCGGGAGGATGGAGCGGGGGGAGGGGGGGGGGGAGGGGGCGGACAGGAGTTGCGGACCCTTAAACCCCGACTTCCCTACATGCGAAGAACCCTGAACCCTACAACCTACAAAACCAAACTCTGAAACCCTAAGCCCTTCAGGAGGCTTGGGGGTTGAGATGTTCGTGGCAACTTGCTCGGGCGTGGGCGTTTGTGAGATGAAGCCAAGCTGCGAGACCCCTTGGCCCGATCATGTGTCCTCTACTGTTTCGGTTTCGGGGCCCGGGAGTTTAGGGTTAGGAAGTTTAGGGTGCATAGGTGGCTTAGGGTGCTTAGGGTTTAGGCTGGCTAGTCCTCAAGCCACTTGCAAGAAAGGGGCTTGCGGTTTAGGGTAGCAGGAAGTGTCCAGATTTTCGGGTGTTTAGGGCTCAGGTTTCAGGGTTTAGGGTTTAGGCTTCGTAGTAGAGTAGATAACCTTTAACCTTTTTGGGTTAATATATTCCCCTTGTAATCCCAAAGGTTAACCTTTAAAACCCATAGGTACTGGACAACTAAGTAGGGTTTACTGGGAAGTATAGCTCCCGGACCTGCCAGGCGGGTGACAGCGTGTATGGCGAGTACCTCTTCATCAGGCCGTGGTTGAAGTGGGCACTGCGACAGCTGGAAAGGGTTGGCATCGCTAAACCCTAAACCCTAAACCCTAAACCCTAAACCCTAAACCCTAAACCCTAGACCCTAAACCCTAAACCCTAAACCCTAAACCCCATCGGCTTCTAATGATTGGAGAGATTGGCTTGGCTTGATGCTGTCCCTAGCTGCGACTGGAATTGAATTGGGGTACCTGAGATGAGAGAACTTTGACTGAGCGAGCCTAGGGTGCACTTGTGTGGTTGCCGGGTGTAGGGTTAGGGTTTTGGTTTAGGGTTTAGGGTTAGGGTTTAGGGTTTAGGGTTTAGGGTTTAGGGTTTAGGGTTTAGGGTTTAGGGTTTAGGGTTTAGGGTTTAGGGTTTAGGGTTTAGGGTTTAGGGTTTAGGGTTTAGGGTTTAGGGTCAGGGTTCAATACCTTGTCGTCCGAATCTTCTGGCAACAACAGCATAGGTGATCATGGTGGCATGGACTGCATGCCGTAACTTGGGCTTCTCTCGCCGTCTCATCTCTTAGATCTTTCGCAGCTACTTGAAGGTTCATGGTACTGATTAACCAATTATAACTGTACTTATAACTGTACTTATAAGCCCCTTAAGTGCCCTAATATACTTATAATTTGGGTTATAAGTCCAGTTATAATTGGTTGCTTAGTACCATGAACCTCCAAGTAGTCCTTTAGGGCTTATAGGGCTTATTTATAGGCGCTGTCGAGTTCATAGGGTGAACAGGGTTCATAGGGTTTAGGGTCTGTAGGGTTTTAGGGTTATAGGATTTCTGAGGGTTCAGAGTGTCTGCATGCCACTCTAAACCCTAAAGGTCCCTAAACCCTAAAGGCCCCAAACCCTAAAGGCCCCAAACCCTAAACCCTAAAGGCACTAAACCCTAAACCCTAAGAGTGTTTGCATGCCGCTGTGGCAAGGAGGGCGTCGCGCGAGTCGGGCTTCGCCAACCTCAGGCATCTCGAGCCACAAGGTGCTTGGCTGGCGTTGTGGGGTTTAGGGTTTAGGGTTTAGGGTTTAGGGTTTAGGGTTTAGGGTTTAGGGTTTAGGGTTTAGGGTGTAGGGTTTATAAGGGTTTAGGGTTTAGGGCCACAAAGAGCCCCATGTCCCTCAATTAGGGAAAGATTCCCTCAATTTTAAAACAGGGATCCTCAATACGATTGAGGTATATCCTTAATCAAGGGGTATTGGGCTCTTTGGGAATCACAGGTGGTCCTTCGAAGAAGGCCAGTATAAGCCAAGGCCCTGAACCTTAAACCTTAAACCCTAAACCCTAAACCCTAAACCGAGAAGATGCGTTTACAGTTTGCTCCTTTATTGGGGAACAGGAGCAATGTCCCGTTGCTTTGGCGAGCGACAGCAGGACATCTTGATGGCAAATGATAGAGGTGGGTTATCTTGCAGTCGGCGCGCCCTTCGTAGTTTGTTCACAGTCCAGGCAACACACACGCTTTCAAATGGGACCTCAGATCAAGTGGCTAGCATACAACATATCTTGAGCCCTAAACCCTAAACCCCTAAACCCTAAATCCCTAAACCCTCTATCCCTAAACCCTAAACCCTAAGCCCCCAAACCCTAAACCCTAAGCCCCAAAACCCTAAATCCCTAAACCCTCTATCCCTAAACCCTAAACCCTAAACCCTAAAAAAAACAAAAACCTAAGCCCCCAAACCCTAAATTCCTCCTTCCGGAGGTGGAACCAACTGGCTGGTCGCCAACGCGGATGGCTTGTCCTCCACCATGCTCAGGAAGCAGCCCAGCGATGCCCCTGAGCGCTGCTTTGGGGTTTAGGGTTTAGGGTTTAGGGTTTAGGGTTTAGGGCCTGTGAGAGAGAGAGAGAGAGAGAGAGAGAGAGAGAGGGTTTAGGGTTTAGGGTTTAGGGTTTTAGGGTTGTCTACTTATAACTGGTTGTCGCCATATCAGGCCAACGACAGCAACGCTGGCGGCTATGCCATGGCTGCATGGCGTGGAAGATAAGACTGTCCTTCATTAGGGTAGTTAGGGTTTAGGGTTTAGAGGCCTTCCATTTGGTGGCAGACACCAAAACACCCCGAAGCCCGAACAACTCCATGTCATGAGACCCATCAAGTTACATGGTTACTTGAAGGTTCATGGTACTTATTAACCACTTATAACTGTACTTATAACTGTACTTAGAAGCCCCTTAAGTGCCCTAATATACTTAATAATTTGGGTTATAAGTCCAGTTAAAATTGGTTACTAAGTACCATGAACCTCCAAGTAGGGGCCCGCTCCGCTTCGAACACTCCCAACATCGTCAATCGCAGCAGCAATCATTGGGTGACTACGTAACTGGACCTCCTCGCGTGGCCCCTATCCACGATACAGGGTACTATAGGCACTTGGGCCATTCTTATCCCTCTGCCCCCCCCCCCCCCCCCCCTCCCCGCCACCCCCTCTCTGATCGCCCCCGCGCTCTAAACTCCAAAGCCCCTAAAGCCGAAAACCCTCAGCCCTATGTGCTTGGTCTGCTTCGCGGGCCACAAACGAAACTCTGAACCCTGAACCCCAAACCCTGAACCCTGAACCCTACACCCCAAACCCTAAACCCTGAACCCCACACCCCACACCCTAAACCCTAAACCCCATAACCCTCTAAACCCCTACCCCAAACCCTAGGCCCTTTGTTGAGGGGAGTCCAAGCTCTTCGAAACAACGCGCGCGGAGGATGGCGAGTTGGTGGAGGGCGAGTTTCTGCTCCTCGCTGCCTGTGGGGTGTTTCAAGAGACTCAGGGTTTAGGGTTTAGGGTTCATGGACCCTGAACCCTAAACCCTAGGGTCTAGGGTTTAGGGTTTATGGCAGCCCCCAAAGTCCCGTTGCTCAAAAGGGTTTATGGTTCAGGGTTTAATTATAAGTCCCTAAGCCTAAACCCCTAGGGTTTAGGCCTTAAGGCTTCGCGTTGGGAGAAGTGACATGCTTTATGTGACGTTCCCGGCCGACGCCCCAAGCCCGGATGCAAAACGGGCTTAGGGTTAGCCATCTGATGCTCTGTATCAAAGGGTATGGTTGCTTCACTAGTTGACCCCTAAACCCTATACCGTAGAAACCCTATAAACCCTATAAACCCTATAAACCCTATAAACCCTAAAAACCCTAAAAACCCTAAACCCCAAACAAAATACCTATAAACCCTAAGCCCTACACCAGAATTCCCCTGGGGCCCGCTTCAGGTATTGCATGCGGCGCGGTGAGAAGCGCGGAGGCTATGTCAAGCTGAAGCACCTTAAGCCCATGAAGGCCCGTAGCTTCTGCAGGGCTAAGGAGTAGAGTGTAGGGTTTAGGGTTTAGGGTTTAGGTTTAGGGTTTAGGGTTTAGGGTTTAGGGTTTGGGGTTTGGGGTTTGGGGTTTGGGGTTTGGGGTTTGGGGTTTGGGGTTTGGGGTTTGGGGCTTGGGGTTTGGGGTTTGGGGTTTGGGGTTTGGGGGTCACCTGTCACTCTGTAATCTGGTGTCTGAATTTTGGGCCTGCTTCCTCCTACTGCCAGCACTGTGAGAGCTGTTGGCCTCATTCCAGGCGAGACGGCGCAAGCCCGCAGCAAAAGGGTTTAGGGCTTCATTAGGGTGTTGGGTTTATAAGGTTTAGCAAAATGTTTAGGGTTTAGGGTTTAGGTCTCTTTTTGGGGGTACCACAGCCCCCCTTTAGTTCCATCCGGATACAGGACAACTAAGAGGGGTGTAGGGCTTTCCGGGCGAAGGGATTATAGGGTGTACTTGCTGGTTCTTAGCTTCCGGTACATTGGTGTAGGGTCATTGCAGGGCTCGCGGCAGTGTGAGGAACAGGAGACAGATGGAAATAAAGAAGACCTTAACACCCCAACAGACAAACGTATCAATGGCCAAGATTTTTTAATCCGACTGCAACGCGCCGGGCATTCAGTTTCATGGGAATCCTACCGTAAAATGAGAAGCTCAACACTCGCGTTTTTGAACTGCTGCTTTTCCATTACACTTTGTGCTTCTCTTCACTCTGAGCTTAGGACAAATCCGACTTGTCGTCTTCTGAGCCCGAAACTCTAAAGCCCCCAAAATCTCAGAAGTATTCAACATCCCTCTTGGGCATACCCCTTTATAAGAGATTGCAGTAAGGGGTATGACAAGTTCCTTTTCATCCAACAAACGTGCACGCCGTTCTTCATCTAATGTCCTATACGGGGTTTCCGAAATTCGAGGTACCTTAGAGTTTAGGGCTTAGGGCTTAGGGCTTAGGGCTTAGGGCTTAGGGCTTAGGGCTTAAACCCTAAACCCTAAACCCTAAACCCTAAACCCTAAACCCTAAACCCTAAACCCTAAACCCTAAACCTGAAGAATCCAACACCAACACCAACCCCTGCGAAAGGAGCGTGCTGTCCGCCTCGAGCCACCCCCAGACCCGGTGGAGCTAGCAAAGCTGGCAGCTGCCCTGAGGCAGAGGGACCTTAAAGGGTCCGTGTACCTAAATAGGGTTCAGGGTTTAGGGTTTAGGGTTTAGGGTTTAGGGTTTAGGGTTTAGGGTTTAGGGTTTAGGGTTTAGTAGGGTTCAGGGTTTAGGGTTCAGGGTTCACCTGAAAACGCCTCCTAGAAAGGGACAGAGATGCACCTGAATTGCAAGTTTGTCGGTCCTTGTCCCACACGTACCCTGATCTGTAGATACAAGTCAGCTACACAACCCCCTCCCCCTCCTTCCCGGCCGCACATGCTAGAGTGAGTTGAGCCTTCTGAAGCCACATTGGGCCTTCCGAAGCCAATTCGGGCCTTCTGAAGCCAAATTTAACCTTCTGAAGCCAATTTGTGCTTTCTGACGCCGATTTGGGCCAACGTGTGCCTTCTGAAACCAATTTGGGCCTTCAAAACCCCCATTGCGGGCGCGTTCCGCGACTGCAGCCCGAGTACGCCCGAGTACGCCCGAGTAAGCCCGAGTACGCCCGAGTACGCCCGAGTACGCCCAAGTAAGCCCGAGTAAGCCCGAGTACGCCTGAGTGCGCCCGAGTCCGCCCGAGTACGCCCGAGTACGCCCGAGTACGCCCGAGTACGCCCGAGTACGCTCGAGTACGCCGAGTATAGGAGGGTGCAGGTCCCTAGAGGGTTCAACCCTGCTCGCTTTCTCGCTGAAAGGCGAAACCCTAAACCCGATGTTTACCTTAGCAAAACAGCTCCAGGTAATTCATAGGGGGATGCTGGCCCGAAAACACAGTGTTGGCACTCTATAGCCCCGCCGGGCTGCAAGTCCTGTGTGCTTGGCATTTAAGTCTTAGGATTTAGGAGAGAGGGTAGACCCTTCGAAGGCTCATCTCCCGCGACGATGGCCTGCGAGCGGACTTTGTCTGCCTTCTCTAGGGCATACCCAGGCATACCCGGACATACCCCGTCATACCCGGTCATACCCGGTCATACCCGGGCACACCCGGTCATACCCGGTCATACCCAGTCATACCCGGTCATACCCGGTCATACCCGGTCATACCCGGTCATACCCGGTCATACGCGGGCATACCCGGTCATAACCGGGCATACCTGGTCATACCCGGTCATACCCGGTCATACCCGGGCATACCGTCCCGTGGTTTTCCGCAGTCGCGGTTTCCCGTCACAGTGTAAAACCCCTAGGCCGTACCCTAAACCTTAAACCCCTTGAACCCTCCACCCTCCACCCAAACCCTGAGCCCTCAACCCTTTGCAGGTCCCCTTCTCTGCCGCGCTGGGCAGTGATGGACTGTGCCTGAGGGTCATGTGAAGTAGGGATTTATATAACTTGTACTGCTATGAAGGTGAAACAGGGTTGATATTACTTGTATCCCCAAAAGGACACCAAGTATATACACTCACCAATAATTAAAAGGAGCCTCTATACACTTACGAATAGCAGAATACAAGCCTCTGTCATGTGGGTTTCCGGGTTTAGGGCATAAAGGGTTTGGGAGTAGAAGAGCGCAAATGGGGGGGATTGAAAACACAATGTGGTCCACTAGGATTTAGGGCTTAGGCTTTAGGGTTGCAAAGTCTACGTTAGTCACCTTGAGGAAGATATAGGAGCTCCACCAAGCCCCTACGCTCTCGACTCCTTCGGGCTACAGGTTGTTCACGTTCGCCCTATCCCCTGCTGCCCTCCCTCACCCGCCAAACCCGGAACCCCAAAACCTCAACCCTGATTGCAACACTGCACAATCTTTCTCAACACTCACGTCTACAGAAGAGTCCCTGAACCCAGTACCTTGGGCGAACAAAAGCAAAGCCTGAACCTCCCAACAAAATCTGCACAGAATTTGCACAGAATCTGCGCAGAATTTTGCAAGGACGCGGGCCACGATGGCGCTTGGCTACGGCGGGCGCCCAGTGGCCTATGAGACCGCAGTATAAAACGGGGTTGATATGCTAGGAGCCAGAGTAGGCCCTTTAGGGTTTAGGGTTTAGGGTTTAGGGTTTAGGGTTTAGGGTTTAGGGTTTAGGGTTTAGGGTTTAGGGTTTAGGGTTTAGGGTTTAGAGTTTAGGGTTTAGGGTTTAGGGTTTAGGGTTTAGGGTTTAGGGTTTAGGGTTTAGGGTTGGTTGTTGTTTGGGGTTCAGGAATTAGGGTTCAGGGTGAAACGGGGCTTATATGGGAGTTTAGGAAAATTCGGGACCCCTAAAATAGTCCCCCAAAACGTAGGGTTCCCTTCTAATGAGGACCCCAATAAGCACACCTAAAATCGTAAACCCCCATATGCTAGGACCCGGAGTAGGCCCTTATTCCGTTTTTTGGGGGGGCTTGGGTTCCATAATTATAAGCCCCTTTAAACCAACCAGGGCGCCCTTTTTAAGCAGACAGGTTACCCTGGCGTCTAGTTTTAATGTGCTTGGTGAGTGTATATGGGTTGTTCTCTTAACTATCTCCTTTTGAAATTCCAATCATAGTACGGCACCCTTACAATAATGACTCTAAAAGTACCCAGATAACGTTCATACCAATTTTGTAGGCCATGTTTTGTAGAACCCCTTCTTCTAGAATTCCTTTTGGCAGCCTACCAAGAAGCAAGTTTTGGGGTTCTCAAGGTCTCCTGAGTTGCGCCAAAGGAAGGGTTTCCGGTTTAGGGTTCAGGGTTTAGGGTTCAGGTTTAGGGTTGTGGGTTCAGGGTTTAGGGTGTAGGGGCTTTTATGTGCCTCAGGTGTGGGGCTTCCAGAGGCTTATAGGGTTTGTTTTGCTTGAGTGGTTTTAGCCCAAGTTACAATATCTACAACTGCTATAGAGGCTCGTCCTTTCATCTCCATGCTCTTGATAATAAGAGTTGAGCCTATTTTCAGACTTAGGGCCATAAACCGCAAGTTTACCTAACTGCTCGGCGGGCGGGGAGAGATTGGTGTGCGAGGTGACCGCAGCTCGCAAAACATTGTCTGCCTCGTGCCGAATGGAGCCACCGTGGACGGTGAGTTGATTCACCTCACGCCGCTGGGATCGCAACCCGGGAGAGTGTGTGTGTGTGTGTGTGACCCAGGTCCGTCTACCCGAGCCTACTCTTGACCTGAAACGTTGTGAGTGTGGGAAGGAGGTGCCCGAATTGGTGGTGCTACTGATATGGGCGTTTCCGAAAGTAAGCGGAACCCGTATATTCACCCCCAAAAACAAAACCTCATTATAGGAACCCCCCCCCCCCCCCCCCCCCCCCAAGAATAGCCCTAAGGGTCCCTGTGCAGCCGCTATGTAGGAAGTACTTTCAATCCCAAGTATCCCTAAACCCTAAACCCTAAACCCTAAACCCTAAACCCTAAACCCTAAACCCTAAACCCTAAACCCTAAACCTAAACCCTAAACCCTAAACCCTCCCTTCGGGAGCCTCTTCGGAAACTCTCATTCCGATCAAAGGTTTTTTTCCCTGCAGCGCTGCGCAATCTGCAACACTCTGCAGCCCCAAGGGTCCACGTACCCAAACAGGGAATACCCGGGCCTTAAAGTGCTTCCTAGATAGGGTTTAGGGTTTAGGGTAATTACATATAGACTTTGGGGCCCAAGTATATAAGCAATAAGGCACATGGACCCTGAGGCCCTCAGGGCCCAACTCAGTGAACCCTAAACCCTAAACCCTAAACCCCACAGTTGAGGTGGACCAAGTCGGGCGAGAAAGGGTTCGTCCCCGTGCAGCACCTGGAGCAGCGAGGTGGGCTCTTAGGGTTTTAGGGGTTTAGGAGTTTAGGGTAGATTGGTTTAGGGTTTAGGGACCAGGGGTTAAGGGTTGAAATTAAGGTTTGGGGTTTAGGGTTTATGGCAGCCACGGACCCGTCAGAGCGCGCGGGGTCAAAAAGGGCTTATGGTTTTAGGGAGAACGGGTGGGACGCTTCGCAGATGCACCGAAGCTTGTTGCAAAAGGGTTTAGGGGGAGCTTTTCGTTTTTCAGGTACCTGGATGCAAGAACAAACTTTCTTGAAGCTTGGGTTTACTTTTTTTCAGCCCATGAAACCAAGGGCACCCGTTCTTTGCCTTCAGGTTCCTATTCAACCTCAGAACTTCAGCAAAGCCCCGGGTGCGGCGTGTCTTAAGAGTTTTACAAGTTGGGGCCCCCATACTATGCCAACCTTAGTGAAGGGAGTTACAACCCACTTAGTAATACTTGTAACCCAATTTGGTGCCCTTATGACCCTAAACCCTAAACCTTATGACCCTATTTATAACTAGGGGGCCCCTACATGTATGGTTCTGTTTTGCGATCGAAGCGGTCAAGGGGGTGAAGATGCAGTCCTGGTTCCCTATAAGCCCTAAACCATAAACCTTTCCCTCCTATTTGCTTAAGAACGCCAAAAAAATAGAAAACAATAATCCCTATAGTGCCCCCTTAAGGAAGAGTCTTTTCATGTTTTTCGGGGTTCTTAAGGCAAACTGTAGAATTCCGGTTTTGACATTCTGGTTGCCGACTTTCTCGTCGACCAGGGGGTGTCTGTACCCTGAGGGTCCATGAACCTATATATATATATATATGTACTTGAGAACCCCCAAGCCGCTACAGAGGAACCGCTTTAAACCCAAGTATGTACTAGCATCGGTAACATGGACCCTTAGGGCAGCTGGGGTCGGTAACCTTTAACCTTTTTTGGGTTAAGCACAATCACCCTAAACCCTAAACCTTGCATCCTACTATATGTGAAGGGTTAACCTTTTTTGAGGGGCTAGGATATTCAGCCCTGACTGCCCTAAACCCTTGGGTGGCCAAAAACGAGCCCCAAACCCCGAAACCTTCCTTCGTGAAGGCCCGAAGACCTAGGGTTTAGGGTTGAGGGTTTAGGGTTTAGGGTTCGCGAAGGCCCGAAGACCTGGGCCTTGAAACGGCCGGGGCAGCTGCTGCGCGAGCCGGGTGAAGCTGGCAGCCAGGGTGTGGCCCTGGCAGAGGGAGAGGTGCTGGAAGGAGCCAAGAACTTACTGTAGTTGGTTAGGCTTTAGGGTTTAGGGTTTAGGGTTTAGGGGAAATGAGGTACCCTATCGATTCCCTTAAAGGGTCTATATAGGGCAACGGTAAGCAGAGGGTGAGGTGCTGGAAGGCGCCGAGAAAGCAAGACATGGGAGGTCGAAGAGGTGAAATGTTGTAGGCCCCCTGATGTGTGTGTGTGTGTGTGTGTGTGTGCTTTTGTTTGTGGCATGTAGTTTTTTTTTTTGGGGGGGGGGCTTTGGGCGGGGTGGGGTTCCGATTTATGGACCAGTCGTGACACGCTATGCTGCAGTGTGGTGTGAGACCTACTAGGCTGGTGGCAACAAGAAGCCACCCTTATAAGGGACCGTAGGGGTATTTAGGGGGTATTTGGGGACTACATAAGTTTTGTAGAAGGGTTGAATAAGAAAAACTTCCCTTCCCTCCTTTTACCCCTTAAGGTAGAGTCGGCAGCACGAGGCCCCCAAAAGCTGAACTCTTTTCCCATGCCGCGGGCCGGGTAGCCCAACTGGACAGGGGCTGGGTAGGTATCCTCTAACCTTTTGTTGATATTTGAAGCCCACAATAAATAAATAAGTCTAAATATATATATATATGTATATATATATATACATATGGTTAACCTTTTTCAGGGGCTGTGGTCCCTAAACCCTCAACCCCAAAAACCCTATAAACCCTATAAACCCTATAAACCCTATAAACCCTATAAACCCTATAAACCCTATAAACCCTAAACCTAAACAGCCCCGAAGAGGAGAGTTTGTCTATGTCTCCTACAAGGGCGGCAAGCACCAGGCAAGGCGTGGTCGATTCAAGGTTCTGCCTTGGGATGTTTACCCCTGATACTAGCAGCCCTTAAGAGGATTATAATCGGGGGTCCTTTCGGGTTTAGGGTTTAGGGTTTCGGGTTTAGGGTTTAGGGTTTAGTATGGGGGGTACTTCAGGGTTTAGTATCTTCACAGGTTACACAGGGCCTACCCTTAAACCCTAAACCCTAAACCCCAATTAGAATTCCCCACGCCAGGGCTTCATCAAGCGCCACTACCTGGTAGCCATGGCCATGCCAAAGGAGGAGGATCCGCCCAGCAAGCGTCGCAGAGCGTGAGCTCCGAGGGGCGCAGGAAAGGCATGGCCCTGCGAAGAAAAGGTGCTTCGGGTAGGGTTTAGGGTTTAGGGTTTGGGGTTTGGGGTTTGGGGTTTGGGGTTTGGGGTTTGAGGTTTTGAGTTTTGGGTTTTGGGTTTTGGGTATTTCGGGCTGCTTAGGGTTTAGGGTGCTTAGGGTTGAAGGTTTTCACTGCCAAGAAAAGCATCTTTGTTTGGTGAAAGACTTCGTGTCCCTGCCATCTATATCGTTTTTCCCCTTATTGGTAGGGCCCCTGAATCAGTACGTACACTAACAACGAGTCGCCAAAATCTCATGATATCGTATGGCGCATACCTGCCACAAACACAGCCCTGAATCTACAGTAGATAAGAGCAGCCCCAAAACATGTTCGGAAGATCTGTTCAACTTCATGCATCCGCAAACCCTAAGCCCTAAACCCCATAAACCCTAAACCCCTAAGCCCCGATCCTCTTGGCCCCCAAGGCCCGCGCACCGAATCGGTTCAGCGACTTTCTGGGGAGATGTGCGTCAGAGACCCGGATATCGCACTTCTTATCAAGGGACGAAGAAAGGGCGGCTTGTAAAGGGACCTTAGGGGTTCTTCGGGGGTTTTTGAGGGCTACTGAGGTACTTAGGGACTAATATATTCTTGAAGATGTTAAGGTGTACATATATATATATATATAAGGGTAAAATAGGGGAATAAGATGAAGGGCCCCTTCTAGGGGGTCCCTCCTTCTACCGCCTTGGTTGAATGCCTTGCGTGGTGCCCGCATTCTCTTCGTCCCTTTCTTCTCCAAGGTTGCTGTAGCCGTTAACTCTAAACTAAACCCCCTATAAGGGTCCATGTACCCACAAAGTGTATACCTGGGCTTCAAAGAGGCTCCTTTGCAGTAGCTTTAGGGTTCAAGTATCTACCCTCAAAACCCTAACCTATATGGGTACATGGACCCTTGGGGCCTAAAGCCTGGGTTTCTATTGAGCGTAGATCCGGTTTAGAATGGCATTTCGTGCATTGACACCCTCCTTACACACCCAAGCAGCCTGGACCCTAGAACGCTAGGGATCGCAGGGTCTAAGGTTCAGGGTTTAGTGCTTAGCAGTCCTGGGTAAAAAATGGGTTTAGCGCTTGGCACTTGTCAGGTTATTAAGTTTGGATGCGTTCAGACGGTTTGCAGGCTTTCGTTTTGCGAAAAAAATAGGTGCCAACTCTGATTTACTGGTGCAGCTTGGAGAACGTATCCGTCAGTGTAGGCTTCTTGTCTGATGCTCTCGTAGCGCCTTTCCCAACTTCGTGGCGACAACACCAAAGCCATCGCTGCGCACGTGCCTCTGTTTTCGGGTTTAGGAGTTTAGGGATTTAGGGTTTAGGGATTTAGGGTTGCATGGTCCTGAAGATCCTTCCCCTAAACCCTGAGCCTGAATACCCCAAGCCCTAAACCCACACACATCGCAGCATGGTCGTGTGAGCATCGGGCTCTGACGAGGAATAGCTTGGATAACCAAGAGTTGCACCTTTCCAGCCATTCCTGCCGCAACCTCAGATTTTGCTTGGGTCATGGTCTTAATTTTTCAGAACCCTAAACCCTAAACCCTAAACCCTAAGGGGTGTCCAGGTTCACGCACTTGGTGTAAGCCTAAACCCTAACTGCGCACCCGATTTTCCTTTCTTCGGGTCCAGGTTCCCTTTTTCGGCCCCATTTAGACCCAAAAGAGTACCTCAAAAAGAACGAAAACCCCAGATTCCTCTTGGGTCTACAAGTTCCGGCGGGCAAAATCCTGGTGTTCAAGCGTTGACTTGTCCTCTACTTCCGGGCTCTCCGCAAGGGTGCTAGCAACCTTATGGTTGAGGGTTCAGGGTTTTTGGCTACTAGGGCGTGACCGACTTTTCTCGGCAGGGTTCAGTCAATCGTACTGCCCACCGACTAGACGAGATCATGTCAGATCCCTAGAAAGGGAGCAGGGCTTCGGGTTCGGGGTTTAGGGTTTATCCTAGGTGGTATAAGGGGGACCCTTAAAAGGGAACCCTTCTCAACCCTCTTCTGGCTCTCCTAAACAGGGACCTTATTCAGAGGGTCTATATCCCCAAGGGTCCCCCTAATCCCCTAGTTTAGGGTCTAAGCAGTCCGTGATGCTCCGACGCCGGCACCTCAAAGAGCCCGGGTTCAAAAGGGAGCTTAGACTTTCAGACGTCTTACTTGAAGGTTCATGGTACTTATTCACCAATTATAACTGTACTTATAAGCCCCTTAAGTGCCCTAATAGAGTTATAATTTGGGTGATATAAGTACAGTTCGAATTGGTTACTAAGTACCATGAACACTCAAGTAGAAGTGACGGATACTTGGTCACCTGCGGGGGCAACATCTACGTCCATGCTGAGAAGGCCTATAAGCCCTAAACCCATGGACCCGCTTGTAGACTGGAAAGCAGGTCGTGCTTATTCCAAAAGCCGACGGTGAGAAGATGATGGAGCGCGGGACTTAGATTGAGACTTGAACCGACGAACGTCTTCATCTAGCCTACGAGCACTTACCACACACACACACACACACACACGAGTTCAGGGAACGTCGCCGCGTTTACCTACACAGAGTCATCCTTCCAAGCCCCCGTACCCCTTCGCACACCCTTTGTGGGGGCATGAGGGCGTGATGATTCCCGACATGTCCTTCCTTACAGCTGATTTTCTTTTGCACAGAGGTCGCGAGTTCGAACTGCCAGTATCATGACCAGGCCTTATAAGACTCTTGTCAGCACGAGGAATTCCTGCTAAGTAGCTGCACCATCTCGTCTGCCATGCCTGTAAGCACGGCAGTCTGGAGTGAGACAGAGGGCGGCAAGGAGGAGAAGGAGAAGCAGGAGGCACCCGAGTCGCTGGGTGGACAGGGTTTGAGCTCCTTCTTCTCCCGAAGCCGGAAATCGAAGCTGGCGGCGCGACTGAATGTTTCTTGCAGCGGCGGTGTCAGCACCGAAGATGCAGATGCTGAGTCCAGCAGCAACGACAGAATCTGGTTGAGCATCCGCCCCTGGGTCTGCCTACATGCGCTAGTGGCGAGTCAGCGTGCTTTTCCTGTGTGCGACCTCGCCTGTGAAGACTGGGAGCAGGAGGGTGCTTCAGAAAGAGCAGTCCTGGCGCACGAGCGGAGGCAGAGCAGTTCTGCTGCTGATGCTTTTGCCTGGACGGCAGCACTGGTCGTGTCCCTGCCCCCTGAATGCTTGGCCCGAGCGCTGGAGTTCATCCACGGTGATGTGAGCACTGTGTTCGCCCCCGTCTCTCGGACATTCCCTCGCCCAGGGCAAACGACACAAGAAGCCAAAGCAAATCAGAGGAACTGGCAATGCTGCAGGTACCTGCTCTCACAGCGTTCATGCTTACACGGCCGAGTTCTTCAGTCGGGACGCGGGCGTTCCCTTTCCGTCGCCTGTTGGTATCTTGGTAGCCCAGTGGTACCCTTTTCCCTTTTTTTGTTTCAAGGTTCCCTTAATAAAGTAACCAACCCAAAGAAGGGTGCCCTTATCATAATATGGCTACTGGGCTACCCCTAAACCCTAAACCTCTCTTCATATATATATATATATTTTTTTTTATCTTTATTTATTTATTTATTTGCTAATGAATTCGTCGAATAAGCCAAGTCCTTCGTCGAATAAGCCAAGTCCTTCGTCGAATAAGCCAAGTCCTTCGTCGAATAAGCCAAGTCCTTCGTCGAATAAGGCAAGCCCTTTGTCGATTAAGGCAAGTCCTTGGATGAAAATTTGATATTTTGTTCACGTTATGGGATTCTTTGGGCGGGTGGGGTTTTTTCCTAAGCCTGGAACCCCCTAATGACTATGAATGCTAGAACAGTGACCCTCTAGACCCTAAACCCTAAACCCTAAACCGGCCAGCTATGCTACCAAGGTATTGTATCAGCAGTTTTCCCCACTCTGCGGAAGGCGTTGAGCAACTCAAGGCACACGCTGAGGCTGCCCACGCCTCTGAAACTTATCAGCTGAATGGGTACACTTTCCACTTTTTGGGAAACTAGAAGCTGTTATATTAGAGGGCTTAGTAGCTGAGTATGAGTACACTTTACACTTTTGGGGATACTCTAATCTCCTATAGTTATAGGACTGAAAGTGTACACTTTTTTGGGGGGGCTTATGAGCTCAGCAACTAAGGAAATCCTCGCATACATCCGTAAGGCCCGGAAGGTCAAGGCAAGGAAACAGCGGGAGCGGTATCAGTCTGGTCCTGTGGGCCAGGCAAGGAGGGACGTGGAGTTGCAGAAGCAGCTTAAGTTGCGATGATGCCACACCCTGACACCTTACATGAGGGGCCTCCAAGTTTTCATCTGGCACCCTCAACTGCTTTGTAGCAGTCTCACCCTTAGATGCAGTGGGCAACAGACACAGCACGATGCACGGTGCCTCAAAAAGGCCCATGGGAAGTCGCCTGCATTGGATTTTGGTTTCTTTTAGGGTTTAGGGTTTAAACCCTAAACCCTAAACCCTAAACCCCTAAACCCCTAAACCCCTAAACCCTGTTTAGAGCTTTGGGGATTTCATTGGTCGTGAGGGTTTAGGACCAGTGGATCCCGTGCGGTCTGCTCGTGGGTGATCCGCGAATGTCAGGAACTGTTGCATCGGAAACCGTGTGTTCAACCTTTAACATAGCCGTCTCCGCAAGAGTTCTTTCAGCCAGGCTAGCAGCTATCATTATTATATACTTGGGCACTTGGGCCCAAAAGTCCCTGTACAGGAGGTACTTTCAGGCCTAAGCAGTCCCTGTTTCGGTACATGGACCCTAAACCCTAAACCCTAAACCCTAAGATCCTGGCTACTCGTGTCCCAAGCCGTGAGGCTTTGCAAGAGCGGGCGTAGTCCGGGGACTCAGCGGACGAATGGGTGCGGAGACGTGGGTCGGTCGTCCATGTGTCTCTCCCAAAACCCGCGGTTTAGGGTTCAGGGTTTAGGGTTTAGGGTCTAGGGCTTAGGGTTTAGGGTTGAGGGTTAGGGTTTATTAGGGTTCAGGGCAGACATCACATCCGGAGCGGAGGCCCGACAGAACGCACATGTCATAACATGTCATGTGTTTTCTGTGTTGGTGGGGTGCCTCTCTCTCCTAAACCCGACCTAAATCCTCTCTCTCCCTCCCTCCCTCCCTCGCCTGCCATCCCTCGAGTACCTATATCGCACGTACTTGGGCTTTAAAGGGGTTGCCATATGGGCCCAGGCATATACTACATAATCTTACATAAGTGCCTGGGCCCTTAAACCCTAAACCCTAAACCCTAGAGCCCTAAACCCTGTGAACGCTGTGAGGTCTCACCGCAGACTTTACGGTGAAGTCGGACCCGTACCCCCGGAGAACTCTTGCAAAGAAGTTGTGCCAGGCGCCACCCTCAGGGTCCATGTACCTACATAGGGTTTAGGGTTTAGGGTTTAGGGTTTAGGGTTTAGGGTTTAGGGTCCATGTACCTAAATAGGGACTACTTGGGCCTTCAAGTACCTCCTGCTTAGCGACTTTGGGGCCCCAAGTATATATTCATGAGGTACATGGACCCTTCAGGCCAGGGAGTCGCTGTTGTTTTTGATTTTGTGTTGCTTCGGGCATGCGAAGCTGAAAAGTCGATCTACTTGCCCCGTTCATTTTGTATTAGAGTAGGTATAACCTTTATAACTTTTTGGGGGTCTCATCTTCCCTTCACCTTTCCCAAAGGTTAACCTGAAGTTCCCCTAGGATACTGGACAAATAAGTTGCCCCGTTCCAGCTCAAACTGTGGGGTTTAGGGTTTAGGGTTTAGGGTTTAGGGTTTAGGGTTTAGGGTTTAGGGGACCCTCTAAACCACTCTCCAAAACCCGTCAGTCCTGCCCGATAACCTTGGCTACACTAATCGTCAGCCCCGAACGCGAAACCCACAATCACCAAGACCTGGACCCTGTGTACCATTCCTGCTGTCTACACGCAAATGTATATGCAGGTGTGTGTGTATATATATATAAGTACATGCCTAGTTAGACAGGTCTACGCTGATAAAGGCCAAAGCAAGCATTTTCATACATCTGGTACATACAGACGGCATGCCATTTTGCAATACTAGATTTCCCCACCGCTCACTTGTAGAACTTTGGTCGTTTTTGCCTAGCCTTTGGAAGAGTGGTCTTGGGTCGCTTTAGACCTAACCCTAAACCCTAAACCCTAAACCCTAACCCCTAACCCCTAACCCCTAACCCCTAACCTTGATCCTGTCGTCCAGCCAGTGGGGCGCGTTGAGGAAGGGATGTTTTGAAGCGTAGTGCTCGCCAGCAGGAAGGCCTCAACACCTCAGGGACTGGGCAGTCAACCTTTAGCCTTTTTGGTTTAGGGTTTAGGGTTTAGGGTTTAGGGTTTAGGGTTTAGGGTTTAGGGATCGTACTGAAAAAGGTTAACCTTTTTTTGTGGGCTAGGGCATTCAGCCCCGAAGGCGCTCAACCCTGAACGCTACCTTTACTGTACCCGAAGGTGTGAAGGCACCTCCATGCAGGTGTTGAGGGCATCTGACAGGGAACTAGGAGGATTTAGGTCGTCAGAAGAAAAGTGAGCCTGTAAACCCTAAACCCTTTAGGGTCTCGGGTTTAAAGTTTTAGGGTTTACGGTTTAGGGAACCCTGAACCCCAAACCTTGACAAGGGCTGCGCTCTGATCTTCTCCGGCATTGGGGTGCTGTATGGCATCATCCAGCGCAGAGCTCTGCATGGTGGGCCTGAAAGTTTGAACTGGAGGTTTCTCAAAATTAACGTAATCAAGGGGTCGGAATAGTTGCTAATCGTATTCCCTGATGGTCCCTTTCTAATATACGACAAAAACCCCCAAACCCCATTCTAATCATGAAGGCCCCTATATTTGCCCTTTTCGGAGGTTTCTGCTGATAAGGATTACAGTGTATTGTGGGAACCCCTATTTTTGCAAACACCCATCAACTATTTTCGGGAGCTCGGTCACTGCTGTTTCCTTTGGGCTGACTCGTAGTCCTATTCCCAAATTTGACGGCACGAGGTGTGCTCTCGTTGAGGGCGGAGATGGCAATGACATGTTGCTTGCAGCCCTGCCAGTCTTGTGGTATGACTTGCAACCTGGGTAGGCCTTCGGGTTTTTCGTATTTTCCCTTATTTGGTTTGTAAGTGGATCATCTTTAGGATTACTTGTCGGAGGGTTTAGAGGGCCAACATACCAACAGCGACTCGCTCATGCTGCTTGTGCATGTATGCGCTTTGCGTTTCCTTCTCAGCTATATAACTGCGGCTGTAGTTTAATTGGTACGGTTTATGTGTGTTGCTGCGTACCGTGTCTGGGCACTTGAATGACCTAGTGCCGGGAGAACGCCAGTCGTTTTCTCGCGAACCATCGTTTGTCGTTGATCGAGAGTGGTTCGAACTCGAACTCCTCCTCGGGTTCGCATGGCGTTAGCGCTTACAGAGGCTGTGATGTACAGATGGGCATCCCGCAAGCCTGCAGCAAGGTGCTTTTCCGTAGAAGTGGGCGGGGAGTTCCTCGCAGCAGAGCTCGCGGCCAGGGAGATAGGCAGGAAAGCTTTCAGGGTTTAGGGTTCAGGGTTTGGCGTTTAGGGTTTAGAGTTTAGGGTTTAGGGTTTAGGGTTTGGAAGGGAATCTGGGAAGTACATAAGTACGTCCCGTCGCGCAGAGCATGCAGCTTGGATGTTGCAGTTGCAAGAAAGTGATCCTGATGGAGGGTTGAACTGGCTCGGGCAATCTTGTTTCAGGGCATCTTGTTTCAGAAGGCGTTTGTGGAACGGAAACCATAAACCCACTTCCCTTGTTTGGTTCATTCTCATGCCTCAGGAATTCGCTGCGTTTGCATAGATGTTGACCTGAACAGGCTCGCCGGCGAGATTCAGTGCTCAGGATTGATAAGGACTTGCTGTCTCTAAACCCGTAGCTTCGTAGCAGAGTCGGTAGCCTTTAACCTTTTTGGGGGGCATTACAATCCTATATAATCCCAAAGGTCACGTAGCAGAGTAGGTAACCCTTAACCTTTTTGGGGAATCATCATCCATATATTATCCCAACGGTTGACCTTGAGTTTCCGCAGGAAACATGTAAGTTAGCGGTCTGTACGAAAGCCCGGAACCATTCGGGCTAGGATCTTCCAAAACCGCTTAATTAAGGACGACTTTATACCAAGGATCCTTATTCTGAATTCGGGTATATTCCCGAATTAAGGGGTTTTGGAAGATCTGGGGAAGAAGCACCGTGCGGCACGTGGTGCAGTAGGAGCCTCCATGTTCCTGTTCGCTGAGTGTAGTTTCATGGGCTCTTAATATGGTCCCTAACCTCCTTTGAAGAGTTCTGATGTGCGGGCCCTTACTTTGTATAGGGTACATAAGGGTGCCCTTCTAAGGGACCATATAACAACCCCATCCCAGGGAGCTAAGTTCAAAGCAAGGGACCAGCAACAGAGTAATGATCACACTAATATACGAATGTACTGAATAGACGAAAATACTAATGGGCTAATATTATACAAAAAGACTTGTGCAGTAAAATATAAATACAAGAATGCAATACAGACACATAGGAGTCTGCTAATATACGAATACCCTGGGGCTCCAGGTATACAAATAATATCTACACCGGGGTCTATATTGATGCTTTAGGCTACTTGGGAAGGGGAGACAGTAAAGAACTGGTATAACCTTATAAGGGACCATGTACCTAAATTGGGAATACTTGGGCCTTAAAGTGCTTCCTATATAGGGACTTTAGGGGCCCATGTATACAATAACCGGATACATGGACCCTTAGGGTAAGAATACGATACAGCCATATGCTACTTCAATAGTATCAGCCAGGGTTGTTGAGGCGCGACAGTCGGGCGGCTGCCAGGTAGGGTCCCCTCCACTGACCCCACCATAGGGTTTAGGGTTTCGGGTTTCGGGTTTAGGGTTTTGGCTGGTCCGAGTCTGGTTCAAAAGGGTTTACTTAGGGTTTAGGGTTTAGGTGTTAAAACGGGGAGAAGTGGAAGTACAAGGGCCCTGATTTGGGTTCTGCGTACGCGAACTGCCCTTGACTATGCTTTCGTAGCAAGGCGCCTAAACCCTGGGCCAGAGAAACCTTACTAGAGATTCCCCCCAAAATCGGGCTCCCCTCCTAGAATCGAGCTCGAGCACATGGGGGAATGTTCCTAAAACCCTAACACCCTAACACCCTAACACCCTAAAACCCTAAAACCCTAAAACCCTAAAACCCTAAAACCCTAAAACCCTAAACCCCTAAACCCCTAAAACCCTAAAACCCTAAACCCCTAAACCCCTAAAACCCTAAACCCCTAAACCCCTAAAACCCTAAACCCCTAAACCCCTAAAACCCTACACCCTAAGCCCCAAAGCTGCGCAGATTTTGGAGTCGACTTGGATGGGCGATCCTGCCGGGGTCTTACGTGCAGCGTACGAGCTGAGGCCCCTAACTTCTTACTGTTGCTTAGTAGGGAATGGGGGAATGAGGTACCCTATGTAATCCCTTAAAGGGTATATATAGGGCCCGAATTCCATCATTCGATGCTAGCCAACAGTAAGTTTTTTGCAGTGCCGCATGAATTCGAGCAAAAAGACGTACCGCAGGTGTAGGTTGCGACAAAGACTCGAGATCAACATGAATCCCACTGACTCTTTCAGGCCTTTACCTTGGAACGTGCTCAACTCTCTGATGTCATGGTTGGCCCGCCGCCAAGGGGCCGTGTGGGGCGTTCAGGAGGAGGTCTTTTCCGGAGTGTTGTGATACCCATCCTTAATAGGGTTTAGGGCTTAGGGTTGTGATATACTTTCCCTATCACATCATGATGCTGCGAAGCGCGTCCTCGCGGGAGCAACTACAGAATGTGGGGGTTTGGGGTTTAGGGTTTAGGGTTTAGGGTCCCAGCAAGCCCAAAGAGAGCACGAAGCAAGCTTGGTTGTCCCAAACTACCCCGAACAGTTTAAGCCCTAACCCAAAACCCTCAACTCAAGCAATCAGCAGACGGGCGGCGAAAGAAAAAATGCTCTGAACCCTAAACCCCGAACCCCGAACCCCGAAGACTGAGTTGAGGGAGGGACCACCTGAGCTCAGGCGTTTCCGCGCCTCTTCTTTCAGGCCGCCTTTTTTTGGATGCGCTGCCCCTTGGGGGTTGATGAGAAAGAGGGTTTAGGGTTTAGGGTTTAGGGTTGAGGGTTTTACGGTTTACGATTGAGAGTTTAGGGTTTTAGGGTTTAGGGGCTTAGAACTGTGTAGGGATCATGAGAGGGTATGTTGTGTTTGCCCCAGTTGGGTTTGAGGGTGCCTTGTTTGTGAATTTGCTCAGAGGGCATTGGGGATTTTACAGGTTTGCGGGCCAACATCTTTTCCAAGGAGTCGGTATAGAATGGGTTTACACGAAAATAGTGGACCCCCGATGTAGATCCCCAAATAGTAGGATCCCCTTAGAATATGAGCCCAAGAAGGTACCCCTCATTTCGCCCATGTCTAAGTCACGCGGTTGAAGTCTAGGGCTCAAGATTTGAGAGCTTGTCGGGAAGTGCAGGGTTCAGGTTACGTTGATTTAGGGTGCAGACGGTGTGCAGAAATGATGCGGAACATTCTCGTGCCCCAAACCCTAGACCCTAGACCCTAGACCCTAGACCCTAAACCCTAAACCCTAAACCCTAAACCCTAAACCCTCCAACCTCGCGCAGTTTGTGTTCCCACCCTTTGGGACCATCGACGTGCTTGGCAGCATGTTTCTCCATGGTCGGATCCTCAGTGCTGCGAAGGTGGGGGGGGGGGGGGGGGGGGGGCCCAAGAAGTATTCAACAGACCCCCTAGAAATGAAGGGGGGGTATCCTAAACCCTAAACCCTAAACCCTAAACCCTAAACCCTAAACCCTAAACCCTAAACCCTAAACCCTAAACCCTAAACCCTAAACCCTAAACCCTAAACCCTAAACCCTATAAACCCTAAACCCTCGAGTATGTTGAATAATTCTTAGAGTGGGGCATCCAGAATGCAACCCTATAAGCCCCAGCCTATGGTCCACGCACCTAAATCGGGAATCCTTGGCTTTAGGGTTTAGGGTTTAGGGACTTTGGGGCCCAAGTACATAATTTGCACTCCCAACCCCTTTAACCCCTCGCTACCGACAGCACCCGCTCGCACGGGAATACCTAGGAGCATCTAAAGAAGTCAGTGGAGGAACCGAACATGCAGAGGTGTTGTTTTTGGTTTGCGGCAGTTTTAGTGCCCGTGAGGGGCTTGAAAGGAACTGGACCATGTAATATAGGGGCCTGAAAAATTTGAATAGGGTTTTGGGGTTATTATGGTATAAGTACGAAGGTCGTAAATATTCCCACCCCTATAGTATCACCCATATCCCCCTACATATACCCTTAAAGGGATTACATAGGGTACCTCATTCCCCTCCTTCCCTGCTAAGAACCAGCCAGGATGTATCACCAGCATCACCAAGGCAAGAGCTTTCCGCTGAAGACCTGGGTAGCTTTCATTTTGGCTGGCATGCTCTGGGCTCAGATCCTTTCAGAGGTGGGCTTTGACTCACTTTGTGGCTTCCAAACCCTAAACCCTAAACCCTAAACCCTAAATCCTAAACCCTAAACCCTAAACCCTAGGTTGGGGCTAGGTGTCACCTGAGTTCCGGCAAAACGCAACATGTAAGGGCGACCTCTCTCCTGGTCAGATCAACTATGAATTATAAGCCGTCCTCTGTCGGCCGTTCCCCCCTAACCCTGAACCCAACACCCTAAACCCTGAACCCTAATTAAACCCTAAGCCCCACGCCCCTAAACCTACACCACAATCTTCGGTTTTGCTTGGCGGCTTCTTCAGTCTCTTTCAGCTCTACGGTCTCTGAGAGTGTCGCTGAATTGCCCAACCCCGTACTTTCCCTGGAGCGCCCTAAACCCTAAACCTAAACCCGACAACCCAAAAACTCCCAATCCCTGGACCCAGAGTGGGCCCTTATTCCCCCTTTTCTTAGGGGCTTAGGTTCCCTTATAAGCCTCTCTAGACCAAAAAAGGGCACCCTCTTTATTCCTGGGCTACTCTTGGGCCTGGAATCTGTACCGTGGGGATGTTCGAAGTAAACAAATTTCGAGTCGCTGATGTGGATTGTGGCGCCGCTTTTATTCACACTTACATAAATTGCACGATAGTTGTCCGTATGTTCTTTAGATTCATCCATTTTCCCCTGCCTAGGCGGGTGGCAAAACGTCAAGTTTTTCTAAACCCTATGCACCCTACCATAAACCCCACAAACCCAAAAAAGACCTAGAAGCGCCATAAAGCCCATTAAGCCCTATAGACCTGAAACCCAACAAGCTCTATAAACCCCAAACCGAGGTGCGCCAACTCTGACCCTGAACCCCAAACCCTGAACCCTAAACCCCAAGCCCTAAACCCCAAACCCTAAACCCTAAACCCTAAACCCTATAAACCCTATATAAACCCTAAACCCTAAACCTAAACCCTAAGCCGCCCAGGTGCGCCAGCTTTGTGACCAACACTGTGCTGCGACTCCTTGGGTCGGGAATGGAAGCCGGAGCCGAGGCAGCCAAGGGTTTAGGGTTTAGGGTTTAGGGTTTAGGGTTTAGGGTTTAGGGTTTAGGGTTTAGGGTTTTTGGGTCTGGGGTATGGGGTTTCGGGTCGAGGGTCGTGGGTTGAGGGTTTCGGGTTTGGGGTTTAGGGTCGCATTTGGTGAAGAGTCTGGGTTCAGAAAGATGGTTTAGGGCTTCGGATAGTTTAGGGTTAACAGGGATTCGAGGGTTTTAAGGTTTCGAGTTTCTAGGGAAGGTTTCTAATCTAAGGTCTCTAGAGCTTAAGGTTTCTGAGGTTTTAAGGTTTAGGGTTGTAGGGTTTATCGTTTTCGGGTGGACAATCCCGCCCAGGGAGGGCCCGCCACAGAATCCAAGAAAGGCCGCAGTGCGAGGGAGATTACCCTAAACCCTAAACCCTTGGGATTCTTTGCAACCCGGAAACCTCTGACCCCGAGTCCTCCTTTATTCCCCTTGTTTGGGGGCAATTTGGGGGGGTTCAGCTTCCCTGATAAGCCCCTGTAAACAAAAAAAGGCACCCCTTGTTCTTGTAGGTTGCTTTTGGGTCACCCTAAACCTTAAACCCTAAACCCTAAACCCTAAACCCTAAGCCCTAAACCCTAAACCCTAAACCCTAAACCCTAAAGACCCTTTTTTATTGAAACCGTCTCGCCGACTTCCCAGGGCGCCGGCGTGGTCACAGAGGAGCATCGAGACGAGGTTCAGGCTCGGTGGGCTCCCGACATCAGAACATCGCGTTTCCTACTGGGGTCAAAGAATCCTAAACCCTAGCCCTAAACCATAAACCCTAAACCCTAAACCCTAAACCCTAAACCCTAAACCCTAAACCCTAAACCCTAAACCCTAAACCGGGGCGGCCTTGAGTGTTGGTCTACTGGGTTCGAAGGGTTCAAGGGTGCAGCATGAAGGGCCTTTGGGGAGTTGCTGTATGGAGGGTTTAGGGCTTAGGGGGAGTTGCGAGGACACCCCCCGCCCCCCCGTTGTGCCCTTGAGCATCTTATTGCTTTGAGGCAAGGAACATCCTAGTGAAAGTGGTCGGGGCAAGAGGCTAGGGGTTGCATACTGTGTCCTTAGCAAAAATTTTGTGCGGGCGCTCTACACGCAAGAAGTCTAGCAGGTATCAAAAAGGAGGATCGCAGGTTGGCGCCTCGAAACCCAGGTTAAACTTGGTAGCCACTGGTACCCTTTACCCTTTTTTGTTTTTCTGGTTCTGGGTTCCCTTTTAAAGTAGCCAGCCCAAAAAAAGGTGCCCTTATTATAATGTAGTTACTGGGCTGCCAAGTAGAAGAGCTGATGCAAGTTCAGGGAATCTCGCGGCTGGTCAATTCCAACCTGAAAGTCTGAACCACCATCAGGCATGGATCATGCTGGGGATCGAAATGCACCTGGCCCGGCCTGCTGTTCTCGCTATAGTTTAGGGTTTAGGGTTTAGGGTTCAGGGTCTCTTAACTCAGCAGATCAGAGATGAGAATGCAGAGCTATCATGTAGGGCTTTGCAGAGTTTACGGTTTGGGCGGGGTTTCCGTTGAAGTGCCGCACCACGTGGAGCGTTCAAGCCGTTTAGGGGCTCCCACACAGGTCGCACTTCCTTTAAGCCCTAAACCTCGCGATGTTCCCCCTTATAATTATACTAACAGTCCCTACTAGGGATTATTTATCAGGGGGTACTAAAATCCGTATTAAAGGACGGTTAGTACAAGGCGGAACATCCTTAAACCCCAACCGATTGAGGTATATCCTTCCTCAAGTCTACGATGCGGTAGCTGCGTCCAGAGACGAGGCGATGTACCGCACTTAGCATGCAGGACCGCCACCTTAGGTTCAGGGTTTGGGGCTTAGGGTTTAGGGTATATTGAGGTGTAGACAGAAATGGTTTTCGGGTTTTACGGTTTTAGGGCTTTAGGGATTCGGGTTTAGTTCGGGACCAATTAGGGTTTAGGGTTTAGGGTTTAGGGTTTAATTTGGCATTAGGGTTTAGGGTTTTAGGGTTTTAGGGTTTTAGGGTTTTAGGGTTTTAGGGTTTTAGGGTTTTGGGTCCAGAGCCAAGCTCAGAGGCAAGGTCTTGCAAGCGAGTGCCAGTAGCTGGAAGATGCAGGGAGTAGCAGGGCGATGCAGTTTAGGGTTTAGGGTTTAGTAGGGTTTATAGGGTTTAGGGTTTAGGGTTTTCATGTCAAAGTATGTGTCCACAATAATTGCCTCGCGAGCGAGAGATGTGAAAGGCGTCGAGCTTCGAGCTGACCCCCTGTTTTACGACGTATGCGTACTCAAAATGCAGAATCCTAAATCCTAATCCCTAAACCCTAAACCATAAACCCTATTAATTAAAGGTTTTTTTTGGGGCTCTTGGTGGTGCATTCTGCATCCGCCTCGTTGAGGTACCGCTCGATGGTGAGCAAGTGCACGGGCCTCAGCGAGCTCACGTCATTCGCCGAGGATCCGTTTAGGGTTTAAAGGCCTCCGTGGCCGTAATTATGAAACCCTTTTGGGGTGTCGGGTTTAGGGTTAGGGTTAAACCTACACCATACAAAGAATGGGCACGGCCTTAACTATATAACCCTTATCCCTCATGAAACCCTAGAATATAGGGTTTGCAGGGTTTAGGGGCTTAGCACCATCTTCCCAGTTTGCGAATGGCTTGGAATTTTGGGTCGAGGAGGTTGGCGCCTGCTGAGGCAAAGAATTCACTGTCGCTCGCACAGTCGTAGTCGCGGCTTGGCTGAATAGCAGATGTTGTGGTTGACTTCCAGGTGCACCAATCCCGCAATCCCTGAGTGCTAGGAAAGAACTGGCGGCAAGAACCAAAACTCATGCATGGCTGCATGATTTGACCTGTTTTGACCCTAAACCCTGAGCCCTAAACCCTAGAAACCACCTTCAGAAGGCTTCCGTTGCAAACCATGTTAAATAAACCACCTTTCTTTCGCAGCCGTTTGTCTTTCCCCTCTGTTGAACTCAGCACGGGGGCCGTCACCCTAAACCCTAAGCCCTAAGCCCTAAACCCTAAACCCTAAACCCTAAACGTCACTCTGCCACATTGCAAAGCATTCGATTGGAAAGCCCCGTCCCCCTTTTGCTAGGACCCAGAGTAGGTAAACCCGAAACCCTAAACCCTTTAGGGTTTAGGGTGATTTAGGGGTTAGGGTTTAGGGTTTAGGGTGGGTTGAGAAGAAAAAATGTCCAGGAACTTAGGAGCCAGAGTAGACCCTTATTCCCTTTTATAAGGAATTGGGTTCCCTTACAAGCCCCTTTTCAAACCATAAAGGGCACTTTGTTTCCCATACATGACATAACTATAATGGGAGTATTTCGCATGTATCAGGGGTAGGGGAGAGGGGGTTGAACATTAGGGGGAGGGGACTAGTACTAGGACCCAGAGCCAGCCCTCTTGCACTTTTTCTCAGGTTCCCTGATAAGCCCTTTAGAGCCTAGGGGTTGTCGGATTTAGGTTTAATTCAGGTCGGTTACATGTACTTTGGTTCCTTCCCGAAAAAAAAGTTATGGTCGGGTTCAGGTGTTTGGTTGACGGGTAGCTTGTAGACTGCCTTTTCAAAACTAAACCCTAAATAATCCCCAAGCCCTAGAACCTAAACCCGCTAAACTCCCTGAATCCCAGCACCAAAGAAACCCAATATAAACCCTGTGAATCCCGAAAAACCCGGTAAACACTATAAACCCTAAACCCTACAATTAAACCCCATTAGCACCAAAAAGTCCTAAGCCTGCACCATAACAAATCCCTACCAAGCCTCCTCCCTATCCTTTTCACCCCCTAACCCCTACTTGCAAACCCGAAAGCCCTAAATCACCCGAAACCCCCTGCATTCATATGCCCTAAACCCCATAAACCGTAACCTCCCCGAACCAAAGAAACCCCTAAACCCTAAATCCTAAACCGAAAACCCTAAACCCTAAACCCTTAACCTGAGCTACACGGAGCTTTTGCCAAGCATCCGAGGTCGGTGCTGGCCATGCAAACGGCATCCTCCAGCGCGTTCCCTTCCTGTGTTTTGGGGTTTCGGATTGAGGTTTTAGCAGCTCATTTACTAGCTTTCACTCGTCAAGCTTTTTCATCGTGTGATGGAGCAGTACCCACCTACCCAGAGAATCCCAGAACATTAGGATTATATACACTTGCCATTTTCAGCCGCACTTTCAGCCCAAAGCCTTGAGCCAAAAACTCCACCCATACCCAAAACTCCATTGGTGGGGAGGGAGACGGGGAGCGGGGAGGGTGGGGGGAGGGGCGGGGGGGTGCCTTGCCCACTAAGGTTGTGCCTTGTCCGCTAAGGTTTGTGCCTATGCCCACTGAGATATTTATATTTATATTTATATTTATATTTATATTTATATTTATATTTATATTTATATATGTAGTAAGAGGGTTTAGGACTGCAAGGTTCCCCTGAACCCTCTATGCCCTGAACTTGGAGGCAGGGTTTAGGGTTTAGGGTTTAGGGTTTGGGGTTTAGGGTTTAAGGTCTGCCCGGAGTGATGCTGGTTAAGCACGTCCACCGGAGGTAATACAAGTAATTATCCCAACGTACCAAAAAAGTCATTCTAGTTCGTTGTACGAGGAATAAAGTTAAGAAGTACTAGTAGTGGCCAGCAAGTCAGAGCTCGAATCGTATGAGTACTGCTCTAACCATGCTCAAACGGCCTATAGCCTCCAAGTTGCAGCCAAAACACTAAACCCTAAACCCTAAACCCTAAACCCTTATTATGAGCGCGCTTGGAGGCCAACCCTAAACCCTAAACCCCAAACCCTAAACCCTAAATCTCCAGAGCCTAAGCCCTGAGACCCTAAAACCCTAAACCCTTTTGAACTCTGGGGACCATGCTCGCGAGACCAAGGTCCACAAGTTCGGTCTTTGAGGGCATCGCGGAGCCTTCTGACTCCCTGGCTAGTGAGTTTAGGGGGTTTAGGTAACCCTAAACCCTAAACCCTAAACCCTAAACCCTAAACCCTAAACCCTAAACTTGGGGTTAAGGTTTAGGGTTTAGAGGGCTAGAGTCCAGTGATCACGAAGCAAGACCTGAACGAGCAGCGTCACCGGCGAAACAAACAGTGCATGGCCACGTGCCGGGGTCTTGCAGGCGACTTCCAAGACTGCCCCTCTTGGTGTGCCAATGTCACAACCCTAAACCCTAAACCCTAAACCCTAAACCCTAAACCCCAAATACATAAGGAGGCTCAGAGACCTTGCAGGCGCGCACGTGGCAAGTGTGCTGGAGGTTGCAGGCTCGAGTCCGAAGGAGGCAGGAGTCTGCCAAATCTGCTTGGGGTTTAGGGTTTAGGGGTTAGGGTTTAGGGTTTAGGGTTTAGGCTTTAGGGGTAGCCCAGTGGTACCCTTTTACTCTTTTTTTTTTTTATAGGTTCCCTTAAAAACAAATAACCAAACCAGAAAAGGGTGCCCTTGTTGTAATATGGTTACTGGGCTGCCAAGTCTGCTGGGGCTGACGTCACAGAGGAATGGGTCCCAGAGGCTTGAGAGTCCGGCGTCCCACCTTCGAATTCTGTCAGCATTGGCGGTTTCAAGGGAGAGCGTAGTGCCTCTCTCTACATTGTAGATCAAGGTCTGTGCTGTCCACGGCGTTTTTATGCAAACTGATGTCATGCGGGTAACGGAAACGAGGGTATCTTGGCCAGCAATTACCCTAAGGGTCGATGTACCTAAGTAGAAAAATACTGGGCCCCTATTTGGGTACATGGACCCTTAGGGTTATCGTTGTAGACAGGCAGCCAAAGTTGTGTTGCCTAGATCATGCGGCATGCTGCAGCTCTGGCGCTTCTCTACTGCTGCCGCATCATTCTTGCCGCAAATACCTACATGGCGCCTGGGCACAGAGACGCAAAGGTGTTCGTTTTTTTTATATAAGCTACTCGCAAACATGCCCTCTAACTTCAATACAGGAATAGTAGCAACTTGGGATCTCAGTAGCGTAGCTAGTTGTTCCCATTGGTCAACAGTTTTCGCCTAGCTTAGTTTATATGCCGACCTGTAACTTCCCATGAACGTCCATGTACTTCATTGTTATAATATATACTTGGGCCCAAAAGTCCCCAAAATGGAGATACTTTACGGCCCAAGTATTCCCTATTTAGGTACATGGACCCTTACAGGCACTTACAGGTCAAGGCCGCTATAGGCGGATGTGCCGTCTTGCTTGTATTTTCTGCTTTTGTTTCTGCATATCAGGGGGCGGCCCTTTGTAAGGTGCCCTTATCAGACCCTAGAGACCTCAAGTAGAGCTCCACCCATCTCCGAAATGCGCAGGCACAGTACGCGAAATTCCGGACGCGGCAGACAAGGGTTCCTGATGCTGACGCTGTGGCCCTGAGGGAGGTCTACTTATTCGACCCGGATCAAGGTCAGATTGATCTAAGCAGTGCAACAGCAACCAACCCTGGAGGCAGCAATTGGTTCGGCGAACACCCTCCAAGTTTAGCCATCGATGATGCGTTTTCGAAATGGTACGACTCAAACCGGCAAGATCTAATTATCAGTCTGGCTGCTCCCACTGCGATAGCGTACTGCGGACTGCAACTGGCTGAGGATTGGCCATCACGAGACCCCGTCCTTTGGGAGTTTCTCTTATCCCAAGACGGTCAGACCTGGCTGCTGGTGTATGAAAACACAGACGCGGCCGACGTGCCCGATGTTCGAAGTCATAAGCTGCTGCACCTGCCACTGGCCGCACTCTGGCGCGACTTCCTGTTTGAGGCAACCGCCGTCCGAAGTCTGACAGATGGCTCATATCAAGTCCAGGTGGGGGAATTGCAATTCTGGGATGGAGCTTCTCCGCCTGCGCAGATAGACTTCTCTGCATCTGGAGCTACTGCCACCTCCTGGGAAAATGCAGGAACGAGTCCCGTCGGTGGGGAGCCCGGAAAGGCCATTGACGGAGACCTTACCACAAGCTGGGTGGAGTCCGAGGAGTCTGCTGGTCAGCAGTTGATTCTAGGAAGGCCTGTGGGATATTTTCCATGTTCCCTTATTGGGTTGAAGACGATCATATTCAGGAATACCCTAAGCGCAAAGCCCTAAACCCTAAACCCTATTTTTCAAAGGTGTTTGCCATCCCAGGATAGCACTGCACATCAGCTTCCCGAGCTATGTGCATCTATCGAGCTGGAGCTGGGTTACTGGGAGTGACACCTCCAGTGACCCTCTGCAATGGAATTTGTGGGGGCTCTACATAGAAACAGGGAACAACAACATGGTCCAGCTCCACAAGCAAACTAGCGACTTCGCGGTGCCTGTGAGCCGGGGAGTGTCTGTTGGAAGTCTCAGCATTGCCGCCTGGGAGTTCACATCAACTACCACTTCATCCTCGGCGACGCGCTCAAGCACATCCTCAAGCACAAAATCGGCCAGCAGCAGCACATCTACGTCAAGTTCGTCGACCAGATCTACCTCCGGCACATCTACGTCAAGTTTGTCGACCACGTCGACCTCCTCGGCCACGTCGACCTCCAGCAGCAGCACATTTACGTCAAGTCTGTCGGCCACGTCGACCTCCAGCAGCAGCACATTTACGTCAAGTTCGTCGGCCACGTCGACCTCCAGCAGCAGCACATCTACGTCAAGTTCGTCGACCGCGTCGATCTCATCGATCACGTGGACCTCCAGCAGCAGCGTATCTACAACGCCGACACATAGCACGACAACAACAACTTCCACATCCATAAGCCAGACACGGACAACCGTGACCGTAACGCCTGGTGATGCTGCTGTTCTTGCAGCCCTGCTAGGCCAGGCAGTGGCAAGCCTGGAAGGCAGCCAGGAGGAAGCTAGCCAGAATCTTTTCACATCCATCAACTTCTCGCAGTCGGAAGCATATGGCGTGGTTGCGCAGTCGCCTGGCACTGGGACGATTCCGGTCGTAACTGCATTGCTTCGAGCTGGACCAGACGACAGGGCAGCGGGCTCCATGCAGGTGTCTGCAGGCACATATGCCCTGCGGATTCCCACCGCCCTGTTTACCTCCGCAAGTGAACCTGACTACTTGGCGGTCAGTGTAGCTGAGCTACAACCTGGAGACGAGATTACCGAACTCATGGAGGCTTCGACAAAGGCTTCTGGAGACGTTCTGGCCACTGGTCCAGTGAGTATAAAGCTGCGCAGTTTGGAGCAGAACATCAATGGAACGCTGGCAGCGCCCATGCAATTCCAGCTCACTCTTCCCAACACGAGTAACATGAGTCGTTTAGCATGCATGTATTGGGATGATGCTGGGCAACAGTGGTCGGACAAAGGTATGACGACCACCTTGGGTCCTGAGGGCATGCTGGAGTGTGCCACAACTCACCTCTCCATTTTTGCTGCCATATTAAGGGCCATTGTCGCCACCTTGGTTTGCAGCAACGCCGCCGGCATCTTCTCCTTGCAAGGCCTGAACCCTAAACCCTAAACCCTATAAGCCCTATAAACCCTATAAACCCCATAAACCCTCTAAACCCTAAACCCTTCTCTTTGCAAGGCCTGCAGTCGCTAGTCAAGCTGCATTGGGCATCACAGCCTCCCGCCATCGTCCTGTGGAGCACCATCTTGGTTGGGAGCTGTCTGCTGTGCGTTGCGAAATGCGTGGACCTGAAGCATCTGGAACAGGTGGACATGCTGGAAGGAGACCTCCTCTCAGACTGTAGTCTACCAAGAATAAGAAGAAGGAAAAGAGTAAGAATCAGAATCGGAATAGTCACAAAAGTCATCTTCAAGAGGTTTTTTTTAGGGTTTAGGGTTTAGGGTTTAGGGTATAGGGTTTAGGGTATAGGGTATAGGGTTTAGGGTTCAGGATTAAAGGCCCATCCCGGTCCATGGAAGGATTCCGGCGCATCAAGATCTTGCGCTCGGCGGGCTCGGCCAAGCGAGGCTGCATGGCGGACCTGAAGGAGTTGCTCTTGCCATCGGAAAGGGTGGCCAGCCAGCTTCTGAAAAGGAAGATGCTTGGTAGTAGAGTAGGTAACCTTTATAACCTTTTTGGAGCAATAGAATCCCCGTATAATCCCAAAGGTTAACCTTATTAGTTCCCCTAGGTTCTGGACAAGCAAGGATGGGAGTGGGAGTAGGTGAGCTGGAGCAGCTGCACACAGTCAGTGGCGTCACAAGCTGGCATTTGCAAGCCCGGGCCATCTTGTCAGACTTCGCGCGGCAGAGGTCGGTGGCCAAGCTGGCATTTCTGTACCAGGCGCACTGTCGTTGGTTCAGCTTCCTGTCGCCGTCGTTGAAGGCCAGCTGCTCCCAGCGATGCAGCGTGCTTGTGGCCAAGCTCTACAGCGGCTGGGCCATCGCGGCCGTCTTCTACGGCTCCACAGCGCTAGCTCCAGGCCAACCCGAATGTGATGTTCCCGCCGCCTTGTTGGACAAGATCGTTCGCAGTGCTGTCATTGCCTCTTCGTAGCCCAGTGGTACCCTTTACCCTTTTTTTGTGGTTAAGGGTTCCCTTATAAAATAACCAACCCAAAAAAGGGTGCCCTTGTTATAATATTGTTATTGGGCTACCCTACACCCTAAACGCCTAAACCCCTAAACCCCTAAACCCCCTTTTGTGGTTACTGGGCTCCCAAGGCTTGGATATCTGCAGTGTTCGGCTCGTTGCCCTTCGTGCTGTTGTTGGCGGTCATGAACCTTGGGGGGTACAACTCCCCAGCTTTGTTGACCAGGATCCTATATCCCCCTTGGGAATCATTCTTTATCTTTTGTTTATTTAAAAATCAAAAGGATATTAACACTTATTAAAAGCATATGCTTTTTTTATGAAGGTTCTAGGGGGAGTAGAGGATCTTCTGGGGATACATGACGGTCCACCTGCTGTTCTGCATCATGGTCGTCAGCATCTTCCTGGCAAGCGTCAGCCCGGCAGATGGGGAGAAGTTCTTGCTATCCTCCCTGACCAACTTGCTGACCCTCAGTAGCTGAATGAGCACACTTTACACTTTTTGGGATACTATAATCCCCTATAGAACTGAAAGTTTACACGGAGGTTTTTGGGGGCTTGTGAACTCAGCAACTTAAGGACCTCATTGCTGGTTCAACCGGTGCTTCTGTCGCTGCTCTTTGGAACCTGCTTGCTTCCCCGAGCTGATGCTCTTGACAGGCTAGTTCAGTGGCAACTTGGGCTCAGATCCCACGTCTTAACTTGAAGATCTCAAGCCTGGGGTTTCGGGTTTAGTTAGTTGCAAAAAGGGTTTCGGAGGAAGGATCACCCTAAACCCTAAACCCTAAACCCCAGGGAACTTTAGCAGCACTCTCCATGCCCAGGCCGAGCGAGGACAAGCTCGAGGTACGTGTTGCGAACGCCACTGGGCTCTCTGAGATGTGGAACTCTTAGGGTTTAGGGTTTAGGGTTTAGGGTTTGATTGTGATTGTGATTGTGATTGTGAGTTGTCATGGGTGCCTGTACCGGCACCTGGGCCGCCACAAGTTTTTTGTACTTGCGGGGTCCGCACAGGACGCGGCAAAGGCCGTGCCCCGGCTTATCAACCTCTCCGAGCGCCACCACCCAGAAGGTCAACGGGCCAGCGGGGGGGTTTGACTTATGATCCAAGACACCGAGATTCCATGTTACTTGCATTTTGCTTATCTTCGCGCCCGATCTGGGAGCACTGGCGCAGCAGCCACTACAGCGCATAGGCCCACGAATCTTATTCGCTTAGCCAATTGGTCCTCGTCTCCCTCGGCCGAGAGACAGGAGGTAGCATCGCCATTCAAGAGCTCTCGCCGGTATTGCTCAGTTGCCACGCATCTCTGCAAGATGTGTTGTAAGCCTACCTGCGCTTCAAGGCATCCGGGGCAGGTGGGCACCGTCGCCGGATTGTTTGGCCATCCCCACAGTGAAAGAGGCAGTGCCCCAGTCAACCTGCAGAGTGTCCAGGCCGTGTGAAATTTCCAAATTGTGCGACTCCAAGGTGCCCAACGTAAGGCGTTTGCCGAGCTCTTGCAGGGACACAGGAAGCGGGCACCAAGCGCCGACACCCCTGAAGTCCCCGCAGCGAGCTGTGCAGCAAACCACCTGACCTCGTGCTTCTCGATCGCTGGTTGGAGGCACTCGCGCTTCCACTTTTTTACAGCCTCTTTCCGGAGCTCACTTGAGTCTAGTGAAAGCCTTCGGAATGTAGCGAAACTTATGAAATCAGATTTAACCTGCAACTCCCGCTCCAGGCTGGCGGCGTGGTCCAGCCACGTGGCACCTGTAACTTTGCCAGATGCTCGCACAGCCTGTTCAACTGCATTTGGGCACGGCAGAATCAACAAGCGAGCTCTCGCAGTGCACACCCGCTGGGCCCACCGCAGTCCCAGACGAACAGGCACGTTCAAAGTTGCTAGGAGGCGGGCGTGGCCACCGGTGCCCAATGACAGCTCTCGTCCAGAGGATACAAGCCTTTTTAAGGCCTGGTATTGTGCCTCGTTCAATCTGCCAATTACGCCCTGCCATCCCAAGTGAGAGCTTGCAAGGCACTCACTGCCCGAGAGAATAGCAGCTTCCACTCGCGAGAAAAACTGAGCCACCTGGAGAGGCAATCCTAGCCCGAGACTCGTCATAGCTGAGCCGAGCTCCATTGCCAGCGAGATTGTCCTGGCACACACCGTTTCTAGCTGTTGGGCCAGCGACAGTGCGTCATCAATTACAGGTCCCAATACCTGCATAGTCTTCACTGCGCACACCTGCTCATCTCCGAGTCTGCCTAAATCATGATCGGCAGGCATGCGTGTCCCAACTGTCAGGACAGACGCCCGCTTTTTCCCCCCCTTGAACTTATGCTTCCAGGAGGCCGCAAAACTATCAAGTTTGAGGTTGGCCTCTTTTAAACTTTGCAAAGAAGAAAGTAAGAAAAAACTATCATCAACGAACTGTACCAGCGGTTGTCGGCATGATGCCCACAGGTCCAGCACCATGAGTCTCTGCGCCACGGAGAGTTTCTGCAAAGCCTCGCGCAATTCTTCTTCTGGAGTGGAGGCGGAGTAGCAAGCCATAAAACCTTGAACAGATTCCCACAGGCTGTCATGGTGGGAAGATTCAGGCTCATCCGGCGCCGTTGCTCGGCTAAACGCTCTGCACACTGCTCGGGGGACATCTAGGCCCACCCCATGGCTACATTCAAGAACCGCATCCGCTAAACCTCTAACCAAGGCACCAAAAAGATGCACGGCAGCACGTTTTCCTTGACCAAGACCGTGAGTCTTAATGTTAATGAGGTCACTTACTAGTGGCCCGATGCGGACTCGGACAGGGTCGTTTTCAAGGGCCGCATCTGCAAGGAGCCTAAGGCGCCCCCCAACGCCCGCATGTGCAATGTTTAGCCGGACACCATCCCTCCATGCCAAATCGTATCCTTGTTGCAAGTCGACCTTTTCTAGGTAAGTCCGTAGTCCAAGGTTGGAACGGATCTGGAGAGCCATGAGGATGCCTATGGTCAACAGTCCTGCGTCGTACTTCCCTCCTGCTTGCTCGGGGCCACTAAATTGTTCCAACTTGCTTTTTGTCTTGCGGAGCCAAAGGGCATCCAAGATTCCAACTAGATCGTCAGTGTACCCGATGGGTCGCACGTTCTCAGTGTTCGTCACCACGTCTGGCCCTGCCTTCCTGATCGGCGTGACTTCCCGCCACCATAGTGTTGAAACCAAACCCAGAGCTGCGGCCAAGTTGCAGATTGCCCAGGTAACAAGAAGGGAGCTGTCGTCAGCTACCTTTACAGCAGCCCTGGGGAAATGCAAGGTACTCTTGCTCGTCTTCTCTGCGCGCACCACCGCTTTCACATCCAGGACCTCAAACGTGTCGTCAGTCTCAGCCCTGGTATCTCTCAAGGCCTTTTTGCGAAACTCTCTCACTTCGGCCTCCACTGCCAAGTGGAATGGCCCTGGCTTACAATTACACACCTCAGCCCTAGCTAGGAGTTCATTTTTGAGTACATCAAGCGTGTCACTTAGGCCAAGGACCTCGCCCGAGGCTATGTCTCGGAACGCTGTTTTTAAAACCGACTTGGGTTTTAGGAGGCTGGAGAGACACTGTTCCGCTTCTCCATGACGTCCCTGCGCCCGCAACATGTGATACTGGTCCAAGACTCGCTCTGTGCGCTTGTCTGTAATTGGCATTTCGCTCGTCTGGGCGCCAAGTGGTAGCTCAGCAATTTGGCTATTGGTGCTGATCTCTTGCGCGGGGCTTATTAGTTGAAGAAGCTGCTGGTGGTGATTTAAGGAAGGGGGAAAACGGTCCCTACGAGGAGGCTTCACAACAGCAAGACCTGAAAAATGCCCTGCTAAGCAAAACAGTACTGCACGGTACCATACTGCACGGTCCAAGATTGCGAGTCGCATGCCTCGTCTACGGCCATCTGCAACCCACGATCTGATCGTTTCAAGACGAGAAGCCAGGCCCGCCCAGCCAGCTAAAAACTCAAACGCATGCTTAAGAGATCCCAAGGCGCAGCCCCAATCAGCATTACTATCCCATCTAGAAGCCCCGGTTGACTTGTCTGGTGAAACTATTACTTTGCCTGGCAAGGTTGCAAGGATCAGTGCATGATCAGAGCGAACTGGCCCTTCACCTGGACGGGTCACCAGAACATTGATCTGCATGCCTCCTGAGAAAGCAACAATGGCCGTGCCAGATTTATGGGTAAGCACGCCCAGAGGGTTAGTCACCTGACAGTTGAAGGCATGCCTCTGCTGAATCATACTTTGGAGTTCTCTGTCAAACGCAGCCTCAAGATGTTCGTTGGCTGGTGACAACCATGAGAAATGAGCATTAAAGTCCCCAATCACACCAACATCCCACCCAAGGTAATTTGGCTGAGCTCTCAGTGACTCCCACTCAGCGAGGCGATCTCGCCAAAAAGCGCGTTTTGTCGCTACTGGGTAGCCTTTGTGCGGCGCGTACACGCAAAGCAGGAGAAGGCTACGCTGGTCAGAGTCTGGCGTTGCAGGCCACTCCAACCATACGCTACGTTCGTCCCCTACCCCGGCCACAGGAACCACTAGATGGGAAGCTTCCTTTAAAATTAAAGCAGCGACTGTGGTACGTTCCACCGAACGTTCCCCTGCCCACACGTAGCCTGACCACTCAGGCCACACGGCCCCTGGGGCCAGGCAGGGTTCCTGAAGACTTGCTACGACCACACCATGGGCATGCAGCTCTGCAGTGAGCGCAGCAATGTGGAAGTCGTTGGTTTCGTAACTACAAAAACGCGCAAAAGCGCCGGCTATGTTAAAACTTGCCACCACCCTTGGCAAATCGCAGGGCGCTGGCTTTGCGCCCTGCATTTGGCTCTTTGCGTCAACTGCGCCCTCCCATGGCCCATAAATTTTGCTTAGGGGAAGCCCGTCAGCCAATGACTGCATTCTCTTTTCGCACCTTTTAAGGGCTTTGTTCAGGAAGGCATCAAAAGCAACGCAAAGCTGCATCTCCGTAGGCAATTCACTCAAACCGTGCGCCGGCTGTGTTTGCAGCAAAGCTCGCAGATCACGTCTGCAACAGAGAGCCCTCCACTTGCGTGCTGCTGGGGCCTCCTGATCTGGTCCAAGAAAGTCGCCTTGTAACACTGTTCCAATTTGCTCACATGCAAGGTTCAGCTTTTGTCTCCCAGCCCACTGGGCAAGGTTCTCACCAGTAGTGAGCTTCCCTAAATCATCTTCAGCATCCATGGTGCTCATCTGCCAGAGAGGCTCAGGCCAGGTGAACAAGACATGAGTTTAAGCCACACAAGGCCTCTCCAGCCAATCTCAAAACGAGGTTGAATGAG